TTGCTTTACAGTTTCATTCATCTGACGCTAACGTCTTTATTTCAACTGACAGTCTGCGCTCCCAGGTTGGGACATGGCCGCTCGTCTTTTACTGCGTGCACACTCCCTTAGTCTGCAAACGTATATTTATTAAAAACAAAAAAGACGCTGACTTGAACTCCGAAGTGAACTTTAAGCATCTTGTCAAGCAGCCGCTAACTCAACACAGATCTTACAGACCGCGCTGACAGATCTATTTCAAGCCCAGAGCTCGGCTTAGCTGCGATGGAGAACCTCCCACTGTGAGCCGACTACATACTGTTCAGAACAAGAGCGAGCTAATAGAATATTTGAAGCTTTGAAGGGTTTAAATGACACGACTGATTTAAAAGTTCTCCGTGCATCGATGGAGGTGGTCTTTCTGGTCAAATCGGGTCCCTGTAAGCATGATAAACAGGAGTGTGTGTGGCAGAGGAACACACACACACATCTTAGCTTCCTGCCCATTAGTTATCAGAATAAAAGGTTGGAGCAGGTGTTTTTGTGTGTGTTTTATGGATATTGAATATAGAGGAGAAAGCACTTGTACACACACACACACACAGATAGAAGAGTGTGTGCTCCAATGCTAAATGTCACACCTGTCATTGGCAATGTGGATGAAAAAGCTCAATTATCCCTCCTCACAAACACACAGACCACCAGCTCTCCTCTTTCTTTTATCTTTCTATCCCTCCTCCTCCTTTCCCATCACTCTCTTTTTCTCCATCTCATCCTTCGTCCCTCCCAAATTTCACCATTCTTCCTCGTCGCCTCTTCATGATGTGTGTAGGTAATTAAAACGTCCTCTCCACCAGCCTTGTGATAAATGAACTGAGCTGTCAGGGAAACGCCTCCCACTACATCACAGATTTGTCCTTTTTTTTTCTTTTTTGGGATTTGATTTTGCCATCACGGTTCAGGGAATCTGCTTCATTAGTGTTCACGGCTGCTCTGTGTGCACAAACGGGTGCGTGGTGGCAAATGCAAGTGTACAAAACACACATCAAGGCATTTCCACACTTCACAAGGCTGGAGAAAGAAGTTGGGCTTAAGCAGCAGAGTCAGACGTGGTGCTTTCAATTAAATTTGCTGGGGAGGGATTTCCTCGGGTCCTCTGTGAGGGAAAGAAAACATTTACATTTTAATAAATCGTGTTATAATAAAGGCAGAAACTTCCACGAGACTTTCTGCCAGCTACGAAAGGGTCAGATGCTGTTTGTCTGTTTTAGAATAAAGGCCTCATAAATATTAAAAATTACTACACCATCATTTTACCCTAAAGTATTTTTTATTAGTTGTGCTGTTGTATATTTCTGGGCAGCTGTGATTGAGACTCCCAGTCACTGTTCTTGATCTGGGTTGTTGTTCAAACGTCAATAAAACCAGATTTCATGTAACTGTGCGGTGTATGGGGCACAATACCAGATTTTCTGTCTGTCCGAACACGTCCTAAATATTCCAAGAATTCCTAACTTTGCCTATGACTTTTCTTTTTTAGTCAGGAATATTTGCATGTAGTATTTAGAATGATTATTAGAAACAGGACATAAATATGCTTTTGTGCCCCACACACTGCACAGTTAGAGGAACCTTTTTGCTTTTTTCCAAACTAATTGTATAAAGTGTGTTTGAATTATTGGGAGCTCTACAGCACACTGTTAAGTTCATGTGCATCCAAATAAACACGTTCATCTAACCGGGCCTTCTGACATTGATCCTATTTAATTTTTTTTTGCTAAATTATATATCAAATTCTATATTGAGACAGTAAGTTCATGTGTGTAGTCTGCAAATGGAAGACCAAATGCCAGATTTTTAAACCCTGTCAAACTGACATATTTCCCATTTTAATAAGATAATCATTTTCTTTGTACAGTTGCAATTTGGATGAAATGCAAAGATAAGTGTACTTATCCCCGAATTGTAATCTTCTTTTGTTTGCCCCCTTCGGAGGTCACCACAGCGGATTATCGGTCTCCGGTGCATCCTCCTCTTTCACTCCTGCCCTCTGCGTGTCCACACATACGAGCATCGTTGGGTGTAACTCGAAAATATTATGACAACGCTCGATGTCAAGGTGACTGATGATCACATATCAGAGTAGAAACGTATGACTATGCATTTCTAAAGTTTCCTTTTCTTGTGCCCTCAAACAAAGAGGATCTAAACCAGGGGTGGGCAACTCCAGGCCTCGAGTGCCGGTGTCCTGCAGGTTTTAGATCTCACCCTGGGTCAACACACCTGAATCAAATGATTAGTTCATTCATGTTCAGAAGAGGTGAACAGATGAGTTAAAATAATTCGAGGCTGCTCCTTCTAGCGGTCAGGTGCGTGGAGGCGTCCTGCAGTTTCCTCTCAGTTTGCTTTTGTTAAGAAAGCTCCAACTACACAAACTCACAGAGACCATAGATGTCCTGGAATACTTTGAAGGTGACGTCTATCAGGACAGACTCTTATCATCTCTGTGTTTTAATTAAAACTTTTGTCTTATAAACTAATGAATATTTGCAGCCTGTGGGCTTCTTCCTGTAATTAATCCATAGCCGTGAAACAGGAAGCGAGCCGCTGCTGGGTGCCTCTAATCAATATTTACAGGCATGGCGTGCTAAGAAACACCAGGGGGAAGCTCGCTTTGAGGCGTGTTGAACTGAAAAAAGAAACTGCTGAAGAATGGCAATCATGAAAAACTGAACACAGACACTTAAGATCAAGTGTGAAATATTTCAAAGGCATAAAAATGTGTGACGCGTTGTGGATGTTTGAGCGAAATAGATGATTGTGCCTCACAGAATGACAAAAGTCAAATATTCAGAAATGTTTAGCATCTTTTTCATTCCTCGAAATTGTCAAGTCGACTTCAATTTCCTCCCCCCATGCGGTGGCAATTTTGTGTCACCTGCTAGCAAGTCAAAAATAGAATATGTAAGAGGAGAGCTCTGAATAGTTTCTCCCTCCTCACTCATTGCCACAGGTGTGATAAGTGAGGAGGGGCACGAGTCTCCTGCAGAGTCTCGACCCTTTCAGGTTTTGTTTTCTGAGTCATTATTAAAAACCTGTTCAGTGCAAAAAGCAAAAGGCAGTCAGAACAAAGAAAATGTGCTTGGAGAGACAAGAGACAAGCCTCTCGGTTGGTTTAAATGTTGCAAAGAGTGCCGATGCGGGATTTGCAGAATCGTTTTGGGGGGCGAAATGTACGAATGTATAAAATCTATGTTGTTTTGTTGGAAAGGGCACAGGCTGGTGAGTTTTTGAATGCCTGTCCAACAGCATCTTTAAAAAGCCAGCTTGGTTGGTGCAAAGCCAATATGTTGTCATGGTTACTCGTCAGTCCCATAATGATTTTATATTCAGGTGCATATATTGTGCTCGAATAATTGCATTTAAACTGATTTAAGTGGCTACGCTAACGTTGTTTAACGGGTCTACACTTTGGTCCGGCGTCAGGCGACCTCAGTGGCGTGACCCACTTTGATCCACTTTGATCGCGGTTTAAACATTTAATAGGGAGCTTTGTTCAGAGTGACTTGCAGTAAAGTGCAAAACAAGGAAAATGTCACTTTCTATGATTCCAGGCAGCAGAACCTTACAAGAGCAAAGCCGGAGCTGCTCTGGCTGCAGAAACAGGATGTGACTGAGCCCGTTAGCTGCGGTCGTTTTAGCGAGCAAGACATGTTTATATCCCATAAAACCCCAATTCTGAAACATTTGGTAAGATGTAAAATGTAAATAAACAGAATGTCGTGGTTTGCAGATCTCATGAGCCGAATTTTATTAGCAGTACATGTATGTTTATTTTACTATATTCTATCCTTCAGCAAGTCTTTTGTCCCATCTTCCTTCTCTCTACCTGCCTGGTAACAGGCTTCTTCCTGTTAAAAGGGAGTTTTTCCTTCCCACTGTCGCCAAAGTGCTTGCTTATAGGGGGTCATATGAGTGTTGGGTTTTCTCTGTGTGTATTATTGTAGGGTCTGCTGTACAATATAAAGCACCTTGAGGCAACTGTCGTTGTGATTTGGCGCTATATAAATAAATTGAATTGAATTGGCTCCACCCGAGCGCCGCACTGCCTGCTGGGTAATACTCGTAGGATCAGAGGCGGGACAACACTTCCTGTGTTGGGGCGTTGCTTCCACAGATCGACTCAGATCAGTGGAAACACCTGAGCTCACCTCTGAAAGGCTGTGAATGCTTATGTACATGTCATAGTTTGTGTTTTAATTTCAATAAATTGTGGGTAGAACTTAGTGAATTGACTCCATTTTGGAACAACAAGCATCTGTGAATACTTTGTAGATGTGCTGCACAGGCACCTGAGACAAAAGCTCAGTACTGAACTTCTCACAAGTAAAATCCAGTTGTGTAACTTTAGGTATAGAAATACTGAATATTAATATCAGTGTCTTCACCCTGAAGCAGGTGGAGCTTTAGTGTGAGGGCGGCTCCAGAATCCAGACAGAAACACACAAAGACCACGAGAACACCTCAGCTGTTTGCTTCTCATTTATTATCAGGATACAGCAGATAATGATTCACACCAGCTATCAGACCTCCACCAAACAGTCAGTGAGACGTTAAATCTGAGTGTGCTGAGCTGCAGACTGAGGAACATCTGGACCAACCGAGAGCTTCTGAGACAGCCGACAACATCCCAACCTAAACTAGCAGTAACATCCTGACACAGTGTGGCTCAACGTGGAGTCCGGGTCCCCCTGAAAGCACACACATGCACTCAGTGGACCGAGACTCACAGCAGAGACCTCTAGTGGAGGAACGTGTTCATTGCAGCTGCTCTCATACAGGTGAACTACATCAGCTCAAACTGGTCTCCGTCCATCATTTCACTCCACCTGCAGGCAGCAGCTCACTCACACTCTGACTGCTCTTCTGAAATATTTACGTCTTCGACTGACTATGAAAGTTAAAGATTCTCTGGGATTACATGATAAAGGAGAGAAAAGAGAGATCAACACGAAATGTTCTGCTGTGTTTGTCCTGCAGATTTACTGCACAGGACGGATCTTCATGCTGATGGTCTTCAGGGAGTAGTCATGACCTTTCCACTGGTACCAGATCACACCAACAGCAAAGATAGTGCCATCAGCTCCCCAACGATAAACCCCGTTAGGGTTTGCATAGTGACAGGCGTTGTACCAGAACGCCCCCAGATATGTTTTTGCACAGTTCCCTGACCAGGTGTCCTGGTCTTTGTCAAATGTGGAGAACTTCTGTCCGTTGTGACCACTCAGGGCATCTCCTGCAGAAACACAGATGAACAATCACAAAATTACCACTAATCCCAGTCAGACTGGTCTGTATGTGTACTGGGAGTGTTTTCAGTGGGCCATGACACAGACTGGACTCATACTGGGGAGTAAAAAGCAGCAGGTGCACAGTTTGAATCATATGGGGTTGACAGACTCCAGTTTGTTCATGTGAACTGGGAGACTTCGTCACGCAGTAAAGTCATTTTCATTGGTATGTAGCTGACACCAGCTTTATTTATCCCTGAAGGCACATCAGACAAGCCAAGTAGTTAAACTGCAGGTGTGTCTATGGTCCTGACAACCTCACATCCAAAGTCTTGAAAACTGAAGGCTCTGCCTCCCATTCTACTTTTAAATACTCTAGGAACAACAAGTAGGCCTGCAGAGCGAGAGCGAAGTGCTCTAATAGGGTGATATGGTACTACAAGGTCATTAAGATAAGATGGGGCCTGATTATTTAAGACCTTGTATGTGAGGAGCAGGATTTTGAATTCTGGATTTAACAGGAAGCCAAAACAGGAGAAATCTGCTCTCTTTCTAGTCCCTGTCAGGACTCTTGCTGCAGCATTTTGGATCAGCTGAAGGCTTTCAGGGAGTTTTTAGGACTTCCTGATAATAATGAATTACAGTCGTCCAGCCTGGAAGTAATAAATGCATGAACTAGTTTTTCAGCGTCACTCTGAGACAGGATATTTCTAACTTTTAGAGATGTTGCACAAATGGAAGAAAGCAGTCTTACATATTTGTTTAATATGTGCGTTGAAGGACATGTCCTGGTCAAAACATGACTCCAAGGTTCCTCACAGTGTTACTGGAGGCCAAGGTAATGCCATCCAGAGTAAGAATCTGTTAGATACCATATTTCTAAGCTTTTCAGGGCCGAGTACAATAACCTCAGTTTGATCTGAATTAAGAAGCAGAAAGTTAGCGGCCATCCAGGTCTTTATGTCTTTAAGACATTCCTGCAGTTTAACTCATTGGTGTGTGTTATCTGGCTTCATGGACAGATAGAGCTGGGTGTCAGTCTGCATATCGTCCTGCCTGGTGTTTGGTACTCAGGGGCCACGACTGAGAACAGGGAGGCTGCACAGAGGGTCATTAACACTGCCCACAATATCATTGGCTGCCCTCTGACACTCCTGGAGGCCATCGCCAGATCCTCCTGTCTCAGAGACTCACAGGCGACCTCTCAAACCCCGCCCACCACCTGTTCCATTCTACCCATTCCTCTTCTTTGTTAATCTTTTCTGTTCATTTGTGTCATTGTACATGTACAATGACAATAAAGGCGTATTCTATTCTATTTCTATTCTATTCTATTCTATTGATGCTACACTGACCCTGTGCCACTTCACTCACCTGCGCCTCCGTCCTTGAATCCAGTAACAGTCAGTTTGTATCCATCACATTCAGCATCCACCTTAAATGAAGAGTAACGAGCGAACACTTTCTTCCCTTCAAAGTCCTCCATGTCCACCAGCAGCTCACTCTTTTGCTTGGATGTCATAATGTTGATCACATCGAGACCTACATTCACACACAAGCACACTC